AAAGTGTCTCTGGTTCATAGTTTTTGTTGATTTTGATTTTCACTTTCTTATAGTTATTCATTTTCCTGGTCCCTTATTTAAGTATTCTAGATTCCTGCTATGAGTGAGACCATCCGGTATTTTTCTTTTTCTTTTTGGCTTATTTCACTGAGCATGATCCCTTCCAGCGCCATCCATGTTGCTGCAAATTGCATGTGTTTATCTTTTTTGAATGCTGAGTAATAGTCCATGGTATATATGTACCACATCTTCTTGATCCAGTCATCTATTTTTGGGCATTTGGGCTGTTTCCAAAGCTTAACTATTTTAAATAGTGCTGCTATAAACATAGGGGTGCAGGTGTTCTTTGGAATTGATGTTTCTGTGTTCTTTGGGTAAATACCTAGGAGTGGAATTGCTGGATCCTGTGGAAGCTCTATGTTTAGTAGGTCCAGAAATTTCCACACAGCTCTCCATAGTGGTTGGACCAGTTTGCACTCCCACCAACAGTGCAGAAGAGTTCCTTTTTCTCCACAACCTCGCCAACATTTGTTGTTGCTAGTTTTTTTAATATGTGCCATTCTCACTGGTGTAAGATGGTATCTCATGGTAGTTTTGATTTGCATTTCCCTAATTGCAAGTGATGTTGAACATTTTTTCATATGCCTGTTGGCCATTTGCATTTCCTCTTCAGAGAAGTTACTTTTTCGTTCCTCTGTCCATTTTTTGACTGGATTATTTTCTTTGTGTTTTTTTTTAAGATTTACTTATTTATTTATACAAGCACTGGGTACTGTCAGAAGCGCGGAAGGGTGAGAGAATTCACCAGAGCCAGAGCGGGGAGCAGAACAGGCAGAAGGAGTGAGGTGCACTGCTGAGGGGAGCAGTGGGCATGGCAGGAGAGGTCTGTCGCACCATGTGGGACCCTCGTCGGCGAAGGGGATCGAACTGGCACTGCAGAGGCTGTGGGCAACTTTGCAGCCGATCGCTTAACCACTGCACCACCAGGGGAGGCCCTCTTTATTTATTCTTTCAAAAACTTTTTTTTTTTGGCCTTCTTTCATTGTTACTCATCCCTCTGAGGTTCTGGCTTTAGGGCTCCTTGCAGTATTTTTTGGAGTGGGGGTTTTAGTTGTAATGAAATTTCAGAGTTTCTGTTTGTCTGGGAAGGTCCTTATTCTTTCTTCATAGAGCAAGGAGAACTTTGCAGGATAGAGTATTCTTGGTTGGCATCTGTTTTCTTGGAGTCTGTTGACTATGTCCCTCCACTCTCTCCTTGTCTGTAGTGTTTCTTCGGAGAAGTCTGATGTCAGTCTGATTGGTTTTCCTTTGTATGTTATCTGTTTCTTCTCTCTTCTCAGCTTCATTATTTTTTCCTTGTCTTGGATTCTTGGGAGCTTTACTGTAATGTGTCTTGCTGTATTTTTCCTTTCATCATGGAAGTTTGGTGTTCTTCTTCCTGTATATCAATTTTCAGCTCCTTCTTCACGTTTGGGAAGTTCTCTTCACTTCTCTCTCCTCTCCTTCTGGGATTCCTATAACTCTTATATTTCCTTTCATCATGGTTTCTGATAGTCCCCGAAGTCTTTCTTCAGTCTTTTTCATTCATACTTCTCTTTCCTTTTCTGTTTTGGTTCTTTTTATTTCTGTGTCTTGGAGAGTGCTTATTCATTCTCTCATTTCCTCTATTCTGTTATCACTGCTTTTCCCAGCATTCTTTAGCTCTTCTGTTAATCCTTCGATCTCCTGAATTTCCTTCATTTCCCTCTTTAGGGACGCAATTTCATTCTTCTGAGCATTGTTTTCCTTAATGACTTCCATCAGTTTTTCATCACGGCAATTTTAAATTCTTTTTCTGGAAGGCTCAGAAGTTCTTCCAAGTCACCATAGTTGCAAGCTGGTGGGTGGTTTTTTTTTTTTTTTTGTGGTGTGTCTTTTTTCTGAGGCAATGCTACTTTGCTTGTAGTTTTTCTTTCCCCTGCTGCCTGTTTTCTAATTTGCCTTATGCGTTGGGACACTGTGCCACTGGTACTGGCTGGCATCTTTTTGGTGTGTTCTTTTGGGAGTTTCAGAAACTGGCGATCCAAATGAGTCTAAAACTGTTATGCCAGAAGTCTAGTGAGGCAGTGTTACTTTGAGTATGTTAATGGTCACTGTGACAGAATCTCTCCTCCTGTGTTTAGTTGCAAAGGTGCGTCTTGAAGTCCCACAGATTTCTCTGGAGGGTGGGGCAGCTGGATTGCACTCTGGGTTCCAAATCTCTGGATCCCCCTCTGGGCTCCGACTTCCTGCCAGGTGGTACCAGGCTTGTAGGGGCCTTCAGCTCACCTCTGACTGCGCAGGGAACCTTCTCCCTCTGGCTCCACGGGGAGCCTTCTGCCAGATTCAAGCAGTCTTTATTAAAGAAAGGTCCCTGTTCTAAAATGGCGCTTTGGAGACAGGCACACTCTTCCATGTGCCCAGTCTGCCCAGGCCGTGGGTGCCCGCTCCCCCTCTGGGTTTGGACTGCTGGCCAGAAGGGGCCTGGCCTGGGCGAACTTCCCAGCTCACCTCTGACTCCTCCGGGAACCTTCTGCCGGTTTCAAGCAGTCTTTACTGAAGAAGGTCCCTATTCTAAAATGGCGACTGCGATACAGGCATACTCTCCCGCATGCTGGATCTGCCCCGGCCCTGGGTGCCCGCTCCCCCTCTGGGCTCGGACTGCTGTTGCTTTGGTTTTCATTTGGTCTTTCTGCTCTTGAACAAGAAGGCTTAGTGACTTAAGAGCTTTTACTATGATAGTGTCTTTTACATCTATAAATCTCCTAGGTGCTGCTGTGACGGCAGCCCCTAAGGTTTGATGTGTTGTCTTTCATGTTCACTCATTTCAAAGCCTCCATATTTTCTAACTTTCCCTTTCGTCCATTGATTCTAACTTTCTCTTTCATCCATTGATAATTTAGAGAGTGCTGTTTATTTCTCACCCAGTGCTCTTCTTGCATGAGTGTCATTATAGGTAAAAAGGTATATTTGATGGTATCCCAGATGTTTCTGAAGTGCTGTTCCTTTCTCTTTACATTTTCTTCATTCTTCTCCTCAGCCTGGGAGGACCATATTCTTCTGCCTGCTCAAATTAGCTTTTGAGCCCTGTAGAAAATTTTTATTCATATTATCATGTTTCAAACTCCAGAAATTATATTAAGGAGGATTATATTAACACACAGGGAGCTCTGTGCTAGGGCCTGGCCCATGTTGGTGTTTAGTAAATTCCCAGCTGTTCCAGGGCCAGTGAGGGAAAATTATATGTGTCAGCCTCATCGCACGTCAGAGCAAGCTCAACTGAAATGGCCATCTATGCTGAGAGACAGAGAGAGGATAGAGAGAGAGAAGGCACAGTTTACAAAGGATGCTAAGATTTCTACTGCGGAAGTCCTTTGTTATACCATCATTCTGAATTATCAGACTACTCCCAACCTATATTTTTCATACCCATCATCCTGTGCTCTCCCTTCCTCTAATTCTTGCCTCTTTCTCCCCCAGTGTAATCATCAGTTTGCAATCACTTTTGTTTTTTGATTGTTTTAATTTTAATTTATATATTTTTACATCTTTTTTCATTTTGGTAAAATGTATGCATTTTCATCTTGTTATTGTCCCCATAAAATTCCCAACATCCTTGTTTTGATCCTACTTTTTCTCCCTGCTGTCATCACTTTTGTAATATTATCTTGTGAAACTTCCTCGAGGCTACTTTCCCAGTCCCAGCTCTTTTTCCCAAATTTATTTTTCCGGAGGGTAAGAAACAGCTCTTGGGAAACCTGTCACTTCCAGGGATCCTGGTAATTTTTGGAACCACTTTGAGTTTAATCTGTGGGCACCCCCCACAAACACACAAAACAAACACAGCCACTAAGCACACCACAGAGAATCCATCACACTGCTACAAACCCCTTCTAACATAGCTCACAAAACCCAGAACATCTAATACACAGACAAACAAGGATTTTGCTTGGTAATAATCATACATACAACATGACATTACACACACACAAGCTGTATCATTTACATGCAGCACACACCATCATACCCCTCCTTTGTCCCCAACCACAACACATCACCCATGCACATCATCAGTACTGCTGAGTGCAGCGTAGAAATTCTCTTATTTCACAGCTCTGTGCTGAAGCTACTAGATATTGGGGATTCATCAATGAAAGATGGCAGCACAAACCCATGATCTTGTGGGACTTCCATGCTCGTGAGGAAGACAGAAAGTAAGCAAGATAATTAAATATTCAGTGATCAGTGTAATGGAAACAAAATAGCCTACAGAATGTTTGTGCCCAGGGAAGGGGACGCCAGTAGACAGGAGGTCACAGTAGTCCTGGTTGAGGGGAGAGGTGAAGAATTCAGGAAAAACACCTTAGGAATTTGTGGTGATAGTTCCCCACAAAGTAATCACTAGAACTACAGGTCCTATTAAGGGACTCCAGTGATCTCTCCCACACCAATTCTATGAGATCTGACAACCTAGACTCCCCATAAACAGGGATGCACCAGCAGGCACTGCTCTCACTGCTCACTTAGTTGTCTCACCACATCACACAAATCACCTGACACACTTTCCCCACTTAGGGGACATGTCTCTGAAGGCTCTTCTGCATCCCTCGCCCTCTCAGCCCTGGGCTCTGCATGATCCCCTCCTTCACACAGCAGGTGCCGGGGGCAGAGGTCACAGGACAGACCCAGTCATCAGCTTGTCTTAGTCGTGCTGCTGCTGTGTCGGGTGGTTGATCCCCTGTGGGGTCCCTCGTCTCCTTTCTTGGACCTTTGACAAGACAACTCCAGATGAGCTGTGCCCGGTGCACAGTCTCATCCACGACAGTGATGGTGGAGCAGATGCCAGGAGCTATCATGGGAACAGGGACCTCTGTCTGTGAATCTGATGCCTCAAGAAGGGCCTCTCCCTTCCCCACGAGGTGCCTGACCGACACGCTGTTCAAGGTCACGATGAGATTTTAATTTGTTCCCTCTGCTGTTGCTCTGAAGGAAGGGTGCTGTTCCTATCAGGCCCTCCAGTCAGGATTTCTGAGTGTAAAACCTCTGGCATTATGACAAGTTTCCTCTCTCATCTGTGTGGACCCACCCCGACATCAGTTTCATTTCTGAGTTGACTCTAGTCAGAGGAACTTCCCTACCAGGAATCTGGAAGTGGAGCTGCAGAGCGACTGACAGCGATTTTGTGACTGACTGCCCTGTGAGGAGGAGTGAAAAAGTCCAGGCCAAGGTTTGCTATGGGGTGGACTGATTCCTGTGCGCGCGTGTGTTTGTGTGTGTGTGTGTGCGCACGTTGAGTGGTGGGTGGCAATAAGGAGCTCCACCAACTGTGAAACTACACACGACTTTGCTTTCTACCTCTCTCTATCCCTCTGCTTTCTCTTTGGAAACTCCATTACTCAATTCAGATTGGGCTATGAGGTGATGAAGGGCAGGCACTTGGGGTTCAGAGGAAGGGTATCCCCAGGAGCACAACCCCAGGCATAAGGAAGGCTGGTGCAGCCCCTGGGAGAAATCCCCTCCGTGGGAGAGCAGTCTGCAGAGACGTGCTCTGGCTCTGAGGGCTAGTCCGGAAAATAGGGGAAATAATCTATCCAGTTCCTTGGGTTGGATCTGCTTTTAGTCCAGGCCCTGTGAGTGCAGAGGAAAGGTCTCTCACTACCTCCCTCAGCTCCTCCCACACACTCCCAGCAAGGGGAGGGCAATAGGGCTGGGAGCCTGAGCAGCTGCAGCCATGGGGAAGGGCAGACCCTCTGCTCTGGTCCCTGCTCCTCTGTCTCCAGCTCTCAGTCCTCACTGGTGGACACTGGGGGGTCTGGGACAAGGAATCCACAGTGGACAGGCCTTGCCCTCTGCTTCCTGACTCCCCACATCCTGGTTCTGCAAATTCCCTCTGCCTCAAGCACCCTGACCTTGTCCTGGGAGACCTGTCCTCCCCTGGAGGGAGACAGTCACCTCCCTTGTGCCCAGGAACTCTGCTCCCAGCAACAACAACTTCTCTACCCTCCCTTAAGCTCTCCTGCCTCAATGTGGGCTCCATGGGAACTTGAATAACCTTTTACTTCGTGGCTATTGGTGGGGTCCAGAGAACCAGACATGGGGGTGTGAGGAGAGGCAAGGCTAATTGTTCCCATGGACTCTGTTCCCCAACCATTCACCTCAGTGTTGCTAGCAGGACAAGGTAGTAATTCGGGACCGACTCCTCCCGAAGCTCATTAGACATGGAGAGAGTTTCACTCTCCCTCCCTGAGTTCTCTTCTCTCCTGCGACTTTTGGGAGCTCCCTCTTTCCTTTTCTAGCTCTGTTAGTACCTGAGCACTGTCACTGTCTCCCATGATGAATATTCTGTACTTGGATATCCTTGGACGATTCTCAGATGTCAAGCATTTAATTATTTTTTCACATTTTATTTAAATTTTATTTTTTATATTCCCCATACAATTACAACCCCCTTATGTTAACCCCAATCCCTCCTTTCCCTGCCCTCCAACCCCCATAGGGTGTCTCTGATTCATAGTTGTTTGTTGATTTTGATATTTTCTTTCTTATAGTTACTCTTTTTCCCTGTCCCTTATTTAAGTTTTCTAGATACCTGCTATGAGTGAGACCATCCAGTATTTTTCTTTTTCTTTCTGGCTTATTTCGCTGAGCATGATCCCTTCCAGCTCCATCCATGTTGCTACAAATTGCATGTGTTTATCTTTTTTGAATGCTGAGTGATATTCCATGGTGTATATGTACCACATCTTCTTGATCCAGTCATCTATTTTTGGGCATTTCGGTTGTTTCCAAAGCTTAGCTATTGAAAACAGTGCTGCTGTAAACATAGGGGTGCAGGTGCTCTTTGGAATTGATGTTTCTGTGTCCTTTGGGTAAATATCTAGGAGTGGAATTGCTGGATCCTATGGAAGCTCTATGTTTAGTAGGTCCAGAAATCTCCACACAGCTCTCCATAGTGGTTGGACCAGTTTGCACTCCCACCAGCAGTGCAGGAGAGTTCCTTTTTCTCCACAACCTCGCCAACATTTGTTGTTGCTAGTTTTTTTAATATGTGCTGTTCTCACTGGTGTAAGATGGTATCTCATGGTAGTTTTGATTTGCATTTCCTTGATTACAAGTGAAGTTGAACATTTTTTTTATATGCGTGTTGGCCATTTAAGAATTTAATTTTGGCTGGTGAGACTGAAACAGTGGATTTAAATGTTACTGAATTTTAATCTAAACCGAACTGGGCAAATATGACTGGGTTCACCCTATTCTACCACAGAGGAACAGGCGAGGCATCTTTCAAATTGCATCCATTTCTCTCTCCAGAGAGAAGACTTCAACACCATTGTAGGTGCAGAGGCTTAGGTGAAGCTTAATTCTTCACTTGGAAAATCTTGTCTGATCCATCTCTGCCTATAGATAATTTCAGGAAGAACCATGGCCTCAGTCCTAGGGATCAGGAAGATGAGGGAGGAAGCCACGTGCTCCATCTGCAAGCAGCTGATGAAGGAGCCCGTGAGCATCTACTGTGGGCACAGCTTCTGCCTCGAGTGCATAAGTGGCTACATTGGTCAGAGACTCAATCATGGATTATTTGAGATGATGCGTTCTTGTCCCTTGTGTGGAACATTATTTCAAAAGGAGAGTCTCCGACCCAACAAGCCACTGGAAAACCTCATTGAGAGCATCCAGGAGCTGGAGCGTGAGAGGCTGTGTGAGGAACACGGGGAGCGGCTCCACCTGTTCTGTGAGGACGACGGGCAGCTCATCTGCTGGCGCTGTGAGCGGTCCCCAGAGCACAGAGGACACCACACGGCTCTAACAGAGGATGTGTGTTTAGACTACAAGGTGAGTGAGTGGCCATAAATTTCAGCAAGTTCTTCCTCTTCAGCACATTTTTATGAAATTACTCTGAACACCAAGATTGTGACCCTAAAGAGTTTTTTCCATCACATTATTTTCTGAATAATAATTTATTATGATCCCAGTGAGTGAAGTCTTGATTATCTATGCCAAACTTCAAGGTTGGTTCGAACCCATTCCAGTAAGAACTTCCTGTAATGAACTTCTCCTGGGCAATACATTGTGCTCTTTGTCACAACTGCCTCGTTCATGGCCTCACCTCGAATATATAATTGGAGACACCAACGTGCAAGAATACAGGAAATTATCTGAAATCCCATAGGTCCGAATCACTAATTGTTAGATATCCTACAGTCTACAAAGAGTAAGAAAAGGAACACAGGCTGCCTCATGTCCCTTGGTGTGGGTGGTGAGGAGGGGCACCAAAGGGCCAGAATGGGTATAGGGGGAGACTGCCCAGAAGTGAGTCCTGACAGGAAAATATAAATAACTGTGTGTGGAGAAAAAACAGGATTCCACTCAGGCAGACCACCTGTCATGGCAGCTTGCCTGACCTTCTAGTACCTTGTCAGGGAGTGTGTGATGGGACCGGCAGGTGAGGGCATGAGAGAGGGAGTCAAGGAAAGAACTTGAGTGTCACTCAGAGTCCACTGGTCCATAGTGGGGATTTATTTGTGGAGGGAAAGATCAGGCTGACATTTAAAAGAACATTCTACATGCACAAAATAAACATCAAGGAGTAAAATCAAAGTTAGTCCTCTAAGAAAACGGGATTGAAACAGGTTTTAACAAGGATCATGAAGGAGAGTTAAAGGATTTCAAAATAATTGGTGAGTGATGAAGCCTTGAGAGATGTTGAGGCACCTCCTAATTTCAACTCAGTAGCTCTGAGTAAGGTTGCCCTTTGCTGTGCAGGAATGAAGAAGTGGGATTCATTCCTCCTCTGCCCTTGTTGACATTTGAAGGAAACATCCCAGTCGGGCTCTGTGTCCCCTCATCCTTGAGGTGCCTGTGTCATGGGTGAAGTTTCAGGATCCTGTGTCAGGGCTTGTCAGTACTGAGCATCATCAGCGCATTCACCTCCCCCTGTAATGCCATGAGCACTCATCACTGTAATGGGGCAGATTCCATAACTTTCCCAGCAAACAGTAAAAAATAAAGCAACCCAAGCTGATGGATGTACCTCAGGAGTCAGACTGCGGAGGACAAAATCTAGCAAGAGTTTCAGTTCTTACTAGATGGGATCTGGAGCAACTTAGTTATTGCCTGAAAAAATATTCAATGTTAATTATTTATTGGCGGTTGCACCCTGTAGGTGCCAAGTTAAGGTTTGTGAAATTGACTAGTCGTAACTCAGCCCTTTTTCCTTCAGGAGAAGCTCCAGGAAGTTGTGACAAAACTGAAAGCACAGAAAGATACATGTAAGAGTGCAAAGTTGTTCACGAGAGACCAAATAACAAAATGGGAGGTAAGAATTTGAGTTTATTGACCTCAAGTTATTTTCCTTCCTTGAATTTAAGGAGAGGTGGTAACTGGGAAAGTATTAGATAGTTCATTCTCTGTCCACCAGAGCACATCAAACTCAAGAAGAATCCATTTTTTTTTAGTTTTAATACTACTAGTTGTCTATACCCATTTTCTTCAACTTTTCAATAATAGTTGCCTAGTTATCCTGTGCCTCTGTCAGGAGACGAGAGTTGGTATGTCTGCTTACCTGGAACCCAGAACTTGACTGGATTTCTATTTTTAACAACTCAACCTTTGAAGGCCTTGACCTGCTGACATAGGCAAATGTATTATACTATAGTATCTGAACTTAAGCTGCCAGGTTTAGAAACCACCTTTGGGAGGCTGAAAATAGAATCACTGCAGGTGCGATTTTATTACTCAAACTTGCAGAGCTCATGAGGAGGCTCAGAACTGCTGCAAGAATGCACTTGAGGGTCTCCCCTGGTGGCGCAGCGGTAGAACGCTGGGCTGTGAAGATGTTGCAGCCTCCTCAGTGCCGGTTTGATCCCCCGCCACCGGCGAGGGTCCCACATATCCGCTGGTGAGGATCCCACCTGGCATGCAGACCTCTCCTGCCGCCCGCTGCTACCCTCAGCAGTGTATTTCAGTACATCTGCCTGTTCTGCTCCCCACTCTGGCTCTGGTGAATCTTCTCACTCTCCTGCACTTCTGACTGTACCCAGTGCTCGTATAAATAAATAAATAAATAAATAAATAAATAAATCTTAAAAAAAAATAGAATGCACTTGCACTAGAGACTTGGGGTGTAGCACAATATCATGGTCAAACAAGGTATGAATAGAGAAAGCACCAAGTGAAACTACAATTCTGTATCTCCCAAATGAAAACTGAGTCCTTCAGGGTGGGTCATTTGGTTTCTCTCTGTCTTAGCCATAACTATGATAGTGAATCCTCTCTTGGTGGATAATTATTTCTGGAATCTGTGATCAAAGCCTGTCACCTAAACTGCCCCCCTGCTGAAGCTGAGAATCAAAGACTCTTCTACCAGCATGGACATCTTAAATTCAGGATTGGTTATATTTATTAGAAGCCTCTGTTTGAAGATTCACATTTACCTTCTAACATCCCCTTCAACCCTTGGTTTTATCTCTATAAATGATCAATTATTTGACCTTGGCCTATTTCCGTGTGTGTGTGTGTGTGTGTGTGTGTGTGTGTGTGTGTATGATTCAGCATTCTGCCCCACGTTCTCCTGCAACTTGACTAAGGGAGAAGGAAATCAATTAGATCACCATAGACAATTGAGAAACTCTCTCCCACACTTTGGTGCCTGCTCTCAGGCTTGACATACATCAGGGAACTGGACATTCAAATGACGTAGGGGATAATCATATCACAGAAACTGAGCATGTTTCCTGGTGTGTGTGGGTGCGTTAAAATAAACATAACATTGGGGCCTCCCTGGTGGCACAAGGGGTTAAGACGCAACCTATGAAGCTATCCACAGCCACTGCAGCACAAGTTTGATCCTCGGCCAGGGAGCCACCCACATGGTGCAGCAGACCTCTCCTACCTCTCCTGTTGCTCCCCTTAGCAGTGTATTTCAGTAGATCCACCTGTTCTGTTCCCCACTCTGCCTCTGGTGAATCCTTTCAACCTCCCATACCTCTGGCCTGTACCCCAGTTCCTGTATGCATAAATAAATCAATTTTAAAGAAATAGAACACAAAATTGCTGTTTTAACACTTTGTGAGTGTAGGTTCATCAGTGCTTTTACACTATTGTGCAACCATTTTCACTCTATCTGCAGAACTTTTTCATTGTTCCCACCTGGATATCTGCACCCATTAAGCAATACCCATTGCTCTCTCTTCAAAACTCCTGGTAACAGGGGCCTCCCTGGTGGTTAAGAGGTTAAAGTCTCAGCACTATAAAGCTGTCTCCAGCCACAGCAGTGTGAGTTCAATCCCCAGCCAGGGAGCTAGCCCACATAGGGCACAGCAGACCTCTCCTGTCTTTCCCGCTGCCCCCCTTAGTAGGGTATTTAAGTAGATCTGCCTGTTCTGCTCCCCACTCTGTCTCTGGTGAATCTTCTCACCCCCACACCTGTGGCCTACATCCCAGTTTTTGTATGCTAAATAAATAAAAATAAATCTTTAAGAAAAACCACTCCTTCTAACCATCACTCTAATTTCTATGCCTGAATTTGATTAGGTACCTCATGTTAGAATAACATTGCAATGTGTGTCTGACTTGCTTCACTTATCACGTCTTCAAGGATTCATCCTTGAACATATATGGAGTTTTTCCTTCCTAAGGCCAACAGATTTCAAACTGTGATATCACATTTTTGACTTATCCATACATAAACATTTGGTTTGTTTTCCCCTTCTGAACACACTTTCTGTATTTTAGGAGAACATAGAGCTTCAAAAACAGAATATCCAGTCTGACTTTGAGAATCTCATCAACTTCCTGTCAGAGGAGAAGATGTACCATCTACGAAGACTGGAGAAGGAGCAAGAACAGACTCTGGACAAACTGTGGAAGAATAATAACTGTCTGAAAGAGCAGAGCCAGGAACTCAAGAACCACATCCTGCAACTGGAGGAGAAATGCCAGGGCTCAGCCCAGAACTTGCTACAGGTGAGCTGTGCCCGGGAGGACATAGAACAGGGATCTGTTGCTGGGATGTTACCAGGGACAGGGTGAGGAAGCATGGGGCATCTGGCACAGCCTTTCTGCCTCATTCAAAAGAGCACACAGGTGTTGGGAAGTTCAAGGAAGATTTCTTTTAATACACATCAGTATGTGCAGAGGGGCCTCTTCTGTCTGGAGGGTAATATCAGATACTACAGCTCCCTCCAGCCTCCACACAGAAGACAACAGACTTAAACACACTGGCAGCTGATGTCCTAGGAGACTGGGGTGGGCTCGTCCTCCTGGGAGTGCCTGGGTATCTCAGGCTGGGGTCACTCTTTACTTCTTTATAGCCCCACATAATAGACACCATGATATATGAGTGTCTGGCATTCACCTCTCACCTTTGTCTCTGCAGGGTGTAAAAGACACCTTAAGCAGGTAAGTGCTGAATGAATACAGTTGGAAAGTGGGCTGGGTGTATAGAGCTGAATAGAATTTCCCACTAAAAGTATCCTTGGTCTCTGTTTCTTCTAGGAGTTCCGCAGTGAAGCTGAAAGTACCAAAGCCTGTCTCTTTGAAAGTTCCTTCTGTCTGCAATGTTTCTGAGCTTTACTTTGACATGAGGAAAATATTGAGGAGCTACCAAGGTATGGAATGTCAAGAATTTCTTCAGTGCTAAAGATGGCAGGGACCTAAAGAGGTAACCAAGTTCACCCTCTGCCCATGGGCAGACTCACAGCCAGAGAGGTGATTTAGTTGTTTCAATGGAGCTGTCACCTCCTCCATACCAGTGTGCTCCAGGCCTTACACAGGACTTAATGATACGTGCAGATGCCTCAAATGCCTGCTTCCATTTAATAGCTGTGTCAACCAAGGAAAATCACCTCTTCATTTTTCCCTAGGCAAAAAAATGAAAATACTAACAGTTCCCAATTTGATGGATTGTCATGAAAATTAAAAACATTGACATGTAGGAAGTGTTTCCAAGAGTTTTTAACTGTTAACCTCAGTGCAAATCAAGAAAGGTGATTATTATGAACAGGGTGTGTATGGTTTTAGGGCCTGATCTTGATACCCCCATAAATGTCAGAATTGGAATGAAAACCAGTTTTACCAACACCCAAGCATGAGCTGCCTGCTGGCTCTTGGCTCTCTTATTCAGTACTTGTCATATCTGTGATCACTTATCCACAATTATAAAATTGGAATACCTCTAAATACTAAACTCTTTTAATAATTCATCTAACTGCAATTTGAGACCAAATCTGAAATGTTAGATTGGTCTTCTTAAAAGAGCTTTTTTTTTTCTGTTTTATTTATTTGTGCGTAGAAGAACTGGGATATAGACCGAAGGTGCACAGGGTGAGGGGATTCACCAGAGACAGTGAGGAGCAGAACAGGCAGATTGAGTGACAAACAGTGCTAAGGGGAGCAGCAGGCAAGACAGGAGAGGTCTGCTGAGCCACATGTGGGTTAGCTCTGTGGCCAGGGATCAAACTCAGGCTGTAGGGTTGACAGCGCTGAGACCTAACCCCAAGGCCAACAGGGAGGCCCTCTTTAAGCTGTTGAAGCTTTTCCCATCTTCAATTACTTTTATGCCTCCCTGATCTATCAATTACGAAGAGAAGAATGTTAAAATGTTTCATGATGGTTATAGAGCTTCGTATTTCACCTTGCAATTTGATGAATTTTTGCATTGTTTTGAGATGACATTACCAGTACTTGTGTTTGGACTTGTGATTTTTCCTAGTAACCTGCATACTTTTAAGGTGATTCTTTTCTACCCTGACTTAATACAGTGTGATATCATTGTATAACATAACATTGTATAACCTTCCTATGTCTGTTTGTTAGTAGTGCCGCTTACAAATAAATGTGGGTGGAGTTTCAAGAATCCAATTGATATCTTCTCTTTCAGTATATTTCACTTTCCAACCTCAGAATATTTTAATCTGTCCACTTGGGTTTTCCTGTATTGTTCAGATAATGTGAATTGAAATTGCAAACTTCTATGAATCAGGACAAAATATGGGCTGACTGAAGAGAGTTGACTAAAGGAGTTATTTCAAAGATGTGTGTTAGGATAGCAAATAAGGACAAGTGAAGGCCCCAGGACTAGGAGTAGGTAGGGAGCCATCCTCTGTCCTGGGCTCAAGTGCTGGGAGAAGGGGGGGCAGGGATAGCAGAGAGTGTCCAGAGGCAGAGGAATGGAGCCCCCCACCCAAGTCACAGCCAGTGGGGTACAATTAATCTTATCTCTTGTCTCTGCTTCTGTTTGCCTGGGTCTCCTCTAGTGCTTCCCATTGGCTAAAGCAAACACAAGTCAGAATAGAGGGATCCTGGCTGATGTGTCCACAGGGGTCTGCTTTAGGGAACAGAGCAGGTAGGGAAGGTGGGGAGAGACCTCCACTGAAAACAAAGGTGTCAGCACAGCAGATGATTCTATACTTGATTTCTCTTATCACCACCATCCAACCAACCAGTGTTTAACGAGTATCTCTGCGGAGGCTGGCTTCTCGGTAGAGCATTCCATTACCACTTTGTCTTTTTTTAAATTGTATTCTGGCCAGAATCACACTTAAATTTATAGTATTATTTTTCAATTTTACTTGACTCTTCAGATCATTATTGTGTCTTAGTGTACCACCTTATACTCACACCTGTGGAACTTTATCTGAAGCATGAAAGAAAGCTTATCCTTACAAGCCATTGGACTAAAATGTGTCCTGAGGCCTGAGTAACACACTGGGGCTGTAATACCAAGCTATGATATGAGCTCTGTTGTCTTTTAGATCCTGAGAGTTGGTGATTGTTTCGTAGAGATGGGAAGGGATCTTTGTGCCCCAAATTCCATGGTACTTAGTGGTCCTACTTGGGAGGGTCCCTCTGGAAGAGGAAAGTCACCTTGTCCACTCTGGGCAGTTCTGGTCCTTGCCGTCTCTGAGGACTAAGATGGCGATGATGCTGGTAAGGGTGGTGGTTGTGATGGGGTTGATGTCACTACTACCACTTACTGATCGCTTACATGTATCACAAATTTCACCAAGAACTAAGTATATATTAGCCAATCAATTCTTCCCACCATTCTTTATGACAGATAGGACGATTTCTGCTTTAGTTTTCACCTTCACAAAACTAGTAAGACAAAGTTTGCATTTGAACACAAACTGGTTTTACTTCAAGTAAAGTATATTCTCTTCATCACCAAAATGTCTTTTCTTTTTTCAGTTAATGTGACTCTGAATCCCGACACAGCTCATCCTGAACTAATTCTGTCTGAGGATCGGAGACAGGTGACCCGTGGCAGCCCCCAGAAGAAGCATCCCGATTCTAGGAGATTTAGTGTGTTACCCTGTGTCCTGGGGTGTGAGGGCTTCACCTCAGGGAGACGTTACTTTGAAGTGGACGTGGGAGACGGAATGCAGTGGGATATAGGAGTTTGCCTGGGAAATGTACCCAAGAACGCTGACGTGACACTGATGCCTCAGTCTGGATTCTGGGCCATCAGACTCAGCAACGGGAACTGCTATGAAGCTCTTACCTCTCCCCCAACTTCCCTTTGTCTGAGGGAGAAGCCCACGGTCGTGGGACTTTTTCTAGACTGTGATGCCGGACTTGTACACTTTTATAATGTGACAACTGGCTCCCACATCTTCACCTTTGGGAAATTCTTCCTCTGTGATACTATCTGGCCCTTTTTCCAGGTTTATCATTGTTCACCTTTGTTTCTGCCTCCTCCAGAGAACTAAGTAAGTACAGGAACCAAGTCTTTTTGTTTAAACATCACAGGTAATATAAAATCCCGTGAAGGCAGTAATCAGATGTTTACTTCACTGCTCGTTCCCTTCACCTGTGATAATGCCGAGCACCCAGCGGAGTTTTAATAAATCTGCATTGACTGATGCACGTATAGACTCTAAAACACGAGAGATGAGAGCCATGATTATAAATTGCCCTCTCCATCCCTTGTCAGTGGGTTCAGATTTGGTTTAACAAGACTCGTTGGATTAAAAGCAGGGTGACATTAATCTAGAGGCCTGCATTCTCCCAGTTTGAAACCATTTAACTCATATGTGGGGATGAAGGGATGCTGCAGATGTCTGTCAGCCACCTAAGAATTCCAAAATGGGGCCTCCCTGGTGGCGCAAGGTGTTAAGACATAACCTATGAAGCTATCCACAGTCACTGTAGCTCGAATTCCATCCCAGGCCACGGAGCAAACCACATGGTGCAGCAGACCTCTACTGTCTCGCCTGCTGCTCCCCTCAGGAGTGTATTTCAGTCAATCTGCCTGTTCTGTTCCCCCCTCTGTCTCTGTTGAATCCTCTCATCCCCACACCTCTGGCCTGTACCCCAGCTCTTGTATGCATAAATAAATAAACCTTTAAAAAAAAAACAAATTCAAAATGGCTGTAATTCTCTGAATAGCTATGTTGTTATGTAACTGAAGTAATTATCACTGTGAAGCAAATTTAAGTTTAGTGAAAGGGACACGGATGATACAGATTAGAGTCAAACTGAAGACGGGCCCTGGAGATCAGCATCAGATTTCTTTGAGTGACTGACTGGTCACTTACCTGAAGTTTCTGGCCTACGTTTGTACATGGAACTTACATGCACAGAGAGTTCATAATTGTTTTTTCTTTCTAAAGGTGAGAAGACATCTACTTAATTTCCAACCATTCTGTTAACTAAAGGAGTCTGGTTTCTAACAACCTCAGTTCATAGATAAAGGAGAACAAGTTCCTACTGACATAGTTACACTTGGGTGAATATGTGGTTCGGGTGTCAGGGCTGACTCAGCTGATCTCTTCTCTGCCTTGTCATGTACCTTCAGCATGGAGTCAGCTGGTACTGGATGATCTGGGGTGGCCTCACCTCTCATTCTGGCAGTTGGCAGGCTGCTGACTGAGGGGCCTTACCCCATAGCAGGGAGCTCAGCTTCTTTTATGTGATGGTCTCAGGTTTATGAGAGAACAAAAGAGGAACAAATCTCCATGTACCATGCGCCTCTGAAGCATATACTTGGGTCACATTTGTTAAATCATGTGCCCTGGCCCAGACTCTTGTCAGGAAAAAGTACAATCCACAAAGGCATAATTTAAAATGAAGAGCAACCAGAAATGGAATGAGATTAATTGGGGGCAATTTTTGCAATTTCTGTAAGATTTTGCTGCTAAAGTTCTGTACATTTCAACTAAGGGAGGGATAGAGATTCAGACCCATTTTGAGGCCCTGGTCCTCAGCAGATTCAGCCTCAGTTTCTCCCCATATTTGACATCTATGAGCGCTCTCCAGACCATGAATAATTCTATACTTTCTTGCCCCCACACATAGCCTGTATACCCTGCATTCTGGGAGAATTATTCCTGCATTCACCAATCTTAACCTTGACCCTCATGTGCCCTGGCATCACCAGCCTAAAGTGGGGTCTGGGGCCTCCTTGGTGGCACGAGGGGTTAAGACGCAACCTATGAAGCTATCCGCAGCCACAGCAGCATGAGTTCAAGCCCCAGCTGGTCAGGGATCTACCCACTTGGCTCAGCAGTCCTCTCCTGGCTCATCCGCTGCTCCCCTCAGCAGTGCATTTCAGTCAGTCTGCCTGTTCTGTTCCCCACTCTGTCTCTGGTGAGTCCTCTCACCCCCCACAGATCTGGCCTATACCCCAGCTCTTGTATGTATAAATAAATAAAACTTTATTAAAAAAGAGAAAGTGATAATAAAAAAATAAATAAAGTGGGTCTGGTTCTCTGGAACTCCCACATTGGGAAGGAGTTCTGAAACCTTGGAATTGGAAATCTAGAAAACTGCGTCTTTCACCTCTGCAAGTCCTTTCTCCACCAGTCACAAGGAGACAGAGTCTATGGTTCAGAAAATGTTTCATAGGTGCACTCTTGAGCATGTGATTAAGGAAATATGCTAAATTCTTTGAGTTTATCCTAAATTTCTTAGGACAAGGAAACTGATCACTCTAGTACTGGGCAGGGGCTGGAAGCTGCAGACTGCTCTTTCCTACTGACTTGTATCTCAGCTACCCTCCCCAGACCTGGACTCTCTGAGGATGGTGGGTATGTGTGGGGTTGGCTAATTTTACACGTTGCTGCCAATCCTGAGCACCTGTTTTGGTGAGATGGATTCACTGGGTCTGATGAAGACACTGGGTGGAGATTAAAATAAGTTTTCCACCTTCCAATGCAGAGCCTGATTTTGTTCAACTCCTGATTTTCATTCAAATTGGACAAATGACACCAGCCATCTGGGCTTCATTTTCCTCAAAGTAGTGTTGCGTCCTTACATAGGTTGCTGTGAGAAGTGTTCAGGCACAAAGCTTGAGGCATATGAACAAGACATGGTCTTTTGTTTGTTTTTTGTTTTGTTTTGTTTTTATGTATTTTTACATTGTCATTCATTTTTGTACAATGTTTGCTCCTAATCTTGGGGGAAAGCTGCTAGTCTTTTACCATAAAGTTTGAGGTTGAGGGAACTGGTTGAGGAAGTGACCCTGATCTCTACTTTGTTGAATGCTTTGTAACGAAAGGAGGTTGTATTTTCTCCTTGTCTATTGATGATATTGGTTTCCTCCTCTGTTCCACTGAGGTGTCGTGTATTAAGTTAGTTTAAAAATGTTGAGCCTGTCTTTCCTTCCCACGATAAATCCCACTTTGTCATGGTGTGTAAACTTTTTTTTTTTTTAAAGATTTATTTATTTATTTATACAAACACTGGGTATAGTCAGAAGCAGGGGATGGTGAGAGAATTCACCAGAGCCAGAGCGGGGAACAGAACAGGCAGACAGAGGAAATACACTGCTGAGGGGGGCAGTGGGCATAGCAGGAGAGGTCTGCGTGCCATGTGGGACCCTTGCTGGTGGTGGGGGATCGAACCAGCACTGCAGAGGCTGTGGGAAGCTTCGCAGCCCAGCTCTCAACTGCTGAGCCACCAGGGGAGGCCCTAAACTTGTTTATATGTTGCCACATTCAGGTTTCTAATATTTTGTTGAGGAACTTAGTGCAAATATTAAAAAGAAATATTGTCTCTAGGTTTCTCATGATGTAGATGTAGTTATCACAGTACTAATGACTTCATCGGATGAGTTAGAATATATCCTCTCCTATTTTATAAAATGTTTGTTAAATAAGATTAGTATTAATTCTTTTTTGTAAACATTTGGTAGCGTTCCCAGTGAAGACACCTATCCCTGGGATTTTCTTTGCGGAAATTCTGGATTGCTAATGCATCATTATTAGTTGTCAGAACACAGTTCGTATTTTCTACTTTCTCTTAGAAAATGTTGTGGGCATGCCTGGTGGCGCAGCGCATTGAGCACAGTGCTGTGAAGCTGTCCGTGGCCTTTGCTGTGTGAGTCCGATCCCAGGCCAGCCAGAAGCAACCCATATGGCGCAGCAGACCTCTCCTGTCTTGCCCACTGCTCCCCTCAGCAGTGTATTTCGGTACATCTGCCTGTTCTGCTCTTCACTCTCTTTAGTGAATCTTCTCACCCCCGCAACTCTGGCCTGTACCCCACTTTTAAAAAAATTTAGAAAATGTCATGTAGTTTGTGTCATCACAGATTATCTGTTTCTCTGGGTTATGCAATTTGTTAGCATACAATTGGTCATAATATTCCTTCATACTTCTTTTATTTCTGTAGGGTTGGGGTATTGTCTTTCCTTACTTAGATGAGTCACTTCTAGCTTCTCTCTCTTTTTTCTAGGTTACTGCAGCTAAAAGATTTATCAATTTTGTTGGTCATTTCAAAAGGCCAATTTTTGTTTACATTGATTTTTTCCTTTATTTTATTAACCTCTATCAAAAAACTTTATTATTTACTTCCTTCTACTTTGGGTTGATTTGTTATTTTCTGCTTTCTTAAGTGAGAATGTTAACTTATTGACTTAAGATCTTTTAAGTTGATTGAAATAGCGTTTACATCTACAGATTGCCTAAGCACTGCTGTTGCTGAATCCCATAATATTTGTGTTTTTTTAAATAAATTTTCTTTTCTTTTTAAATATTTATTTATTTATTTATACAAGTACTGGGTACAGTCAGAAGCGCGGGAGGGTGAGAGAATTCACCAGAGCCAGAGCGGGGAACAGAACAGGCAGACGGACGAAATACACTGCTGAGGGGAGCAGCAGGCTTGTCAGGAGAGGTCTGCGAGCCATGTGGGACCCTCCCCACCCCCCCACCCCCCGGCCCTGGGATCACCCCGGCGCTGCAGAGGCTGCGGGCAGCTTCACCGTCCAGCGCTCAATCGCTGCACCACCAGGAGAGGCCCTCCCATAATATTTGGTGTGTTGCTTTCATTCTCTTTGACCGACTGATAATTTAGAGTGTGCTGTTTATTTTCCACCCTGTGCTCTCCTTGTGTGAGTATCATTATATGTAAAAAAGTATATTTGGTGGTATCCCACATCTCTGAAGTTCTATTCATTTTTCTTCATTGTTTCTTCTTTCTGTTCCTCAGAGTAGAAGGAACATCTTCTGGCTGCTCAAATTAGCTTTTGAGCCCTTTTAGTAAAATTTCTATTGTAGTTCTCATAATTTAAGCTCCAGAAGTTTTTAAGGAGGATTATATTAACACACAGGGAGCTCTGGCCCAGGGCCTGGCCCAAAGTAGGTGCTCAATAGATGTATAGGTGTGTTATCACCAGCTGTTCAGGACCAGTCAAGGAAAATTGTCCTGTTTTCACCTCATCTCATCGTAGAGTATGCTCTACTGAAAATCATCTATGCCATAAGAAAGAGAGGTGCACACTATTTGCAAAGGATGCTAAGACCTCCATTGGGGAAGTCTTTTGTCCTAACCATCACTCTGAATTACCACACTCCTACGAGGCTGTATTTTTGACACCCATCATCCTGTGCTCTCTTCTCCTTCCTTTGAGTCTTGCTTTCTCTCTCTTCTTTAGCAATCTTAAAATTCTGTCTTCACTTTTGTAGTGTGATCTCATCAGAAATTCTGTCTTCACTTTTGTAGTGTGATCTCATCAGAAGTCCTCTAAACTCACTTCTAGAGTTCCATCTCTTTTTTCCCACGTTTATTTTTCAGGAGGGTAAGAAACAGTTCTTTGGGAAACCATCAGCTGTCATGCAGTCTGGTAATTTCTGGTACCATTTAGAGGTCAACCTACTTGCCACTCCCCAAATGCATATAGTCCCAAATAAACATATAAACATGAACACGCCCACTATGCACACCACAAAAACTAAAACCCCATGCTCACAAGCACATATGTTCCAGAACATCTATAACTCCTACACACACATGCATGCTTACTGCACACCATACATACCACATAACTTGAGTCACACACACACAAGCTGTATCACTCACATGCAACACACACCATCACACCCCTCAATTGTCCCC